AAAAAAAAAAAAAAGGAAAAAGGGACATAAGACAGTCATCTATTTCTCTTTATTTGTAAGAAGGGAAAAATTCTCTAGGTGAAGCGAGGACCTCGCTAGGGTTCAAACCTGTAAAAAACTTGTGCAGTTCTTCTAGGTGCCACTTGAGGCTGCAGCAAAGCCTTCTCTAAAACACCTGAAGTGGGCCGGGGACATAGCTCAGTGGAATAAACGCAAGCGTAAGGGCCTGAGTTCAATTCCCGGTTCCACAAAACAAAAACAAAAACAAAAACAATAAAACACCTGAAGTGACTCCCAAAGGAAGTGACCCACTGTGACGTACGATTGCTTCTTTGAATGAGATTGCCAGCATTGTGCTGGAGCTGCCTGGTACAGGCTCTCATTTATGTTGTTGAATTTAAGTGCTATAAAGCAGGGTTTTGTTCTTTTTCAATTAATTAATTAATTAATTTGGTACAGGGTCTCACTACACAGCTCAGACTCATAGTGATCCTCCTGTCTCAGCCTCCCCAGCGCTGGGATCCTGGCACAGCACAGCATGAAGTACCAGGGATTGAACCTGGGTCCTTGTGATTGCCAGGTAGGTGCTTAGACCCCTGAGCTACTCCCCCAGCCTTGTTTTGTTCTTTTGAGAGCCAATTTAACCATCACATTTCAGGGAAATTTTCCACCTCCAAAATAACCTCTTTAAATGTGATTTTCAATGTTGTGTGCCAGATTATAATTCCCTGACTTCCTGCTTTTAAAATATCTCCCTCTTAGATCTAAGAAAAAGTGTAAACTGAAAGGTGGAAACATGCCTACCATGAAGGCACACTGCAGTCAGAGGGGTCTAGGGTGATAAAGGCCAGTTAACAATGAATCCACTCCATGTACCTAAAATTGCCAAGGACTATGAAAGGCCCTGCAAAGAAAAAAACAAAAACCAAAAACAAACAAGCAAACAAAACAAAACAAAAACACCTTTAAATCTGACATGTAGTGTTAGCTATTTTAGGAATGATGCAAAACAAGTTAATAGGCTGTGGCTCCCACACCCTTAATAAGGGCAAGAGAGGCAGTCTGTTTAAAATATCTTCATTTCCTTTCAAAGTCTACTCTTCCACGCCCCTTGTTCATCTCAAACAGAGAAAGAAAGTAAGCCCATATAACTGGACTTCTAAAAGTTACTTTTAAGTGCAATTGTTTTATAAAAGCTGGGTATACTCTTTCATTCTAACAGTCTTCTCACGAAGACCCTATACAGTGATAGTGAACCTTTTGGAGCTTAAGGTGATACAAATGGCCTACCGTGGTACTCACATCATAAGTTTGCCACCACTTCATGTGCCAGGCAGTGTGCTCAGCATTGGGATAAAGAAATAAATATTATTTATACTCTGCCCTCATGAATCAATCTGAACAAGAGGCTTATACTAAATTCCAATGAATGAAAAAGGTGATCGAAATGTAGAGCTGGTCAGGGAGATGGTTCAGTAGGATAAGTGCTTGACAGGCAAACGCAAGGATCTGAGTTCAATCCCCGGTTCCGCAAAAAAAAAAAAAAAAAAAAGAAACGTGGAGCTGACTTAAATTGATAGAACAGTCCTGTGCGAAGGTTGGGAATCCAGTGGATGGAGAAGAAGCAGAAGAGGAAGTCCAGCAAAGTGAGGCTTGAACAGGAAGGATTTAAGTTGACTCCTAGGAACCCAGCTTGGAAAAACAAGTGAAGCCACGTATGCAGCCCAGAAGGAAAATGGTTACATGAAAGCCCTCCCCAGTGTGAGTCCAGACCCACTCTTTTCTCAGGTTCTACGATGATGGCGTGTTTATCTTCCTCGGACACAAGGACACAGGTGGAGAAGGACGACTTTAGCATATTCATAACCAGGTCATTGGAGAGGACATCCAGCTTCTTGACTTGGTCGCCTGTCACATTGGTAGAGCCCGCGATGCCGTAGCTGGAGGAAAGAGAACCGTGAGAAGTAAGCCATGGCCGCCAGAATGTGTAGAGATATATATAACTCCCTGAAAGAGAGCATTAAAGAGGATTTAGAAAAAAGGAAAGACGACGTATGTATGGTTTGGAAGAAACAGGACAAGGAAGTTGTGCTCAAGATCAGCTCCTAGAAAGAAACCATCCACTCTCACGGTCCAGTACTTCTCATGGTTTCTGCACACTTCTGTGGCCAGATTCATGTTTCTCAATCCTCTTTTCCACTACGGTTCCCATAAGGATGCTTTAGAAAGATGTGTGCTTGGGCCAGCCAATAATTCAGCAGATGAAAATGCTTGTTTAGGCAGACACAGGGCCTGGGGGTTCGATCCCCGGAATGCCATGCTGGCCCCACCCCCCAGGGCCTACTGAGAGGGCGAATGAGACTCGGCATGGTGGCATGAACTTGTAACCTCAGTGCTTGGGCGGCCAAAAACAGGAGGATCACTAGGAGTCCAATCTGTGTAGTGAGACCGTGTACTAAACACATAAAAAAGAAGTATCTATGCTTAACCACACTTCCCCCATGAAATATTTATTACTATATATATTCTGTGCTTTATCCAGCAAAAGTTGGAGTTTTTGTGTTTGCACTTTTGTCCACCAAGAAGCAACACAGGTGAAATGAAATGGCGAGTAGGGAAGCCTGGGCTGGAGTGAGCCTGAGATGTCGGCTGGCTCAGGGGTCCTTTGGCTTTATGACTGCACAGGTCCTACAGGAAAGAGAGCGTTCACTGGCTTCACAACCTCAATTAGAGAGGAAGAAGTCCGACTTTGAGATGTTTGTGTGTTTCTCCAAATCACACAGGCAGAATGCAAGTGGGACAGTAATCTGGGCTCCCAGGCTGGGGGGCTCCTGAGGTCCCCACTGCCTCTGTAGAGAGTTGGAGGAGATGGGAGGCATGGGGAGCCCAAAGTTTGTACTTTATTTCTATGCTATTTGCAGTTTAGTCATTGTAGAATCCCCGAACTCCAAGAGGCTGTCCAACTGCAGAATGTCTTATCAGAATGAGGGGAAAGACAGGTTGTCACAGCCTGACATTGAATACAAATACAGAAATGGGAGGGATATTTTATAGGATGGAGGCACAGAACAATACAACAGACTGGGTGAGGGAGAGGGGAGAGGAGTGTTGAAGATGCCACTAAGTGGCTGCAAGCCGGTGATAAGGGAATAATCACACCTGAACTGATTGTCATTGCTTCAGTGATTGTCACTTTTAACTCACAAAAACACATTTTCCTAACACATACTTGCTTGTGTCAGGTTAGGCAGTACTGAACCCCCCCTTAGAAACCATCCAAACACCAGTGCTTGGTCTGGCCTGACCATGTCTAGGAAGTGATACCAGTTGTCCCACCAAGCCCATTCATAAGAATCAGCCACGTTGGCACCACCCCCTTTTTAGCCTGGAAAACAGCATCCCATCCATCCCCCCCTCCCCTTCTTGGCCTCTTCTTTTTCCACTCTGTCTGTCACTCTTAATTCATGAATAAAAGTCATCTATCAGCCCTGCCAATGTGGCCAGTGTCTCTGGGCTTTAGATTCTCTTTCCACATTTTTGCTTTCTGACTCAACTGTGAGGCCACCTCTGCATGAGGAAGAGGGAAGCCTTAGTTCAGATGTCTTGGGGTGGTTTAGCAGGGCCCACCCACTGAAGCATATCTACCTCCCTGGTGCCACCATTGGCAGTTTTCTTTCTTTCTCAGCCTGCAACTTGTACCACTAAAATCACTATTGATTCAAAAGAGTGGACAACACTGATAGACAATGATGCAGGCATGAAGACAGAGCAGGCACAGCCTCAGCTTGGCAAATCTCCTGCCCTCTGTGGGCCTTCTTCCTTCTCCCATGTGCCCAGAGAGAGAAACCACAAAAGCACATGAGCTAAGGTACACAAAGGGCCAGTCTTAGCACAGCTCTTGGCAGCTAACAGTGCAGGTGGTTGAGCTAAATTCTGGGGATGCCTGGGAAGTTAGGCAAGGAGGCTGAAGGGACTAGGCAGATGGAAGACATGTAGGACAGGGATGGTGTTTTAATTCATTTCCATAACTATCATGAAACACCTGAGGCTGGGTACTTATACAGAAAATAAATTTATTTAGCTTACAGTTTGGGAGGCTGAAAGTACAAACAGCACAGCAATGGTGCTGTGAGGGTCCCCCTGGCTGCATCCCCCCATGATGGTGGCACTACAGTGGCAAGGGTACATGGTGCATAGAGTAGTCACATGGCAAGACAGGAAGTCAAGGGGAGGGTGATGTGACAGTCTTACCACCTCTTAAAGGTCTCACCACCTCCCCAAACCACTGTACTGGGGGCCAAACTCCCCACACAGGGACCCTTGGGCCATGCAGATCACAGCTAATCCATAGCACATGGGAAATAAAGGCCTCTTTCACAATTTGGGCCAAGTTTTACTTGCCCAGATATCATAGTCCCTTTTCCTAGCAGCATCCAAGAGGCCTATTTGAATGTTCATTTATTCCCCAGATACTTCTGGGGCCTCGCTAATGCTAGGTGTATAGTACTAAACGGGACAGAAGAGATCCCTGCCCAAGTGAGGCCAGGAAAAAGCAAGTGTCTCAGAAAGAATAAACAGTGGCAGAAAGGGGGAGAGGTTCACTGTCCCATAAAATAAAATGATGGGACAGGTAGGTAATAAGTTAAATTTCATGATCAAGGAAAGTCTCACTGTGAAGGATGCCTTCAAGCAGAATAGTGTCTTGAATATGTTTCATGAGAAAGGGAGTCTATGAAAAATCCCCAGAGAAGCCCAGATAACTCAGCTATTAGTGGCTCCAAAGCAAAATTCCATGCTAATAATTCATCTGAAGATTTAAGTTTGGGGGGCTGGGGAGATGGCTCAGTGGAATAAACGCTTCCCTGGCAAGTGCAAGGACCTGAGTTCAATCCTCGGTTCCACCAAAAAAAAAAAAAAAAGATTTAAGTTTGGTTTTCACAGTTTTCCAAATGGAAGGGGGGGGGGAATTTCCTTGATCATGAAATTTAACTTATTACCTACCTGTCCCATCATTTTATTTTATGGGACAGTGAACCTCTCCCCTTTCTGCCACTGTTTATTCTTTCTGAGACACTTGCTTTTTCCTGGCCTCACTTGGGCAGGGATCTCTCCTGTCTCTTCTGTGCACATTTATATGTGTAACTTTAAAACTAGAGATCTTTTTCCAGCAATGCCTGGATACCTGGATCTAGGGAGCACCTGAATGCAGGAAGAAGAGGTCCAGAGAAGAAAACCCACAAAGGTTCTCCTCAAATAATGCCAGATCTGGTTTGTAGTACTCTGGGTCCAGTTCTGCCAGTCAGAGGAAACATGCTACCCTGAAACCAAGCCCCAGTCAAGGTTGCCATGAGTTCTTTCTGAATTTCCCAAGCTTGCAGACTCAGCATTTGGCTAAATTGAAATGAAGCTCAAAGCAGGTGCTACTGGCCTAGACCTTGCCCTGGCTATGTCAGGAGAAGTGACCTGCCAAACCAGGGCCACAGCCCAGGTTTCCTCGCTTCCACTCCAAGATTCTGAGAGAGCTCCTATCCTGAGGTAACAGAGGGACTAACATCCAGAGAAACAAGGGTCACAACCTGTTTATGATGGCCCACTGTGGGCCACATCACACACTGCAGGGAGGAGCAGTCCAGGGCGCTCTCACCAAATCGGGCACTTACACCGGCCACCAATCCATGTCAGGCAATCATCCACTTCTCCAGCTCCTCCTGCCTTCAGGGTTTCCATTACACCTTTGGCTGTGGCCAGTGGGTTAAGCTGGTTTTTCCAGATTTCTTTGAACCTCTCTTTATCCTCAGTTAGGGTTCTTGAGCAGGTGAGATGGCTCAGTAGAATAAGCACTTCTCTGGCAAGCGCAAGGGCCTGAGTTCAATCCCCGGTTCTGCCAAAAAAAAAAAAAAAAGTCCTCCCACCCCCAGTTAGGGTTCTCTTCCTGTTCTGACAGAAAGCTCTTTCTAGAGAGAAATTATTCTGAGCCCCTCCAAGTTATTCAGTATAAAACTTTAATAGAACAGGTGATAGAAGAACCTCTTCCCCTGGGAAGACTTACATTAAATAATCCTTCAAGAAAGTATAAGAGGGGCTGGTGAGATGGCTCAGTGGTCTAAAGCACCTACTTAGAACAAGCTTAGCAAAGCACAAGGACCAAGGTTCAATCCCCCAGCACCACATGCCA